CCCCAGCGAAGTGGATTTATTCTCAGCAGAGCAGTTTTACCCAGAAGTTTTTCTCGGAGGCCATCCAGGGCTTGTATTCCTCAGCATGAGTTTGTTTGCGCTAGGCGTACCTAGCTCTGACCCAACGAAGTTGGCTCTTTTCTCTTTAGCATTTATTTTGCTAAAGTGGCTCATTTGCATCAACATACGTGCATAGCATCTACCTAAACGCGTAGCATTTCCACCTCGCATGGAGCATTACGCCATACTCAAACATATGCATTTGAAACATAAGCCAGGTGGTTACCGCTCTGTTCTCATATGTGTTTTTAGCAGATGGTTGAATTATGTTGCCCGCGTGATATTCGGACCTGGCAAATTTTGGTTGATATTTGTGCCTATATGGTATCCAGATCATGGCAAGTTGAAGATTGGTATCCAGACCATAATACTTTTTGTCAGCCCGCATGGTATCTAGACCACCGGCTTACGTTTCTCCCCAGCAGCGTCGTCGAACTTCGGTTGATGATTTTGTTTCTAGCCCTATATGGTATCCAGACCATGGCAAATTGATATGTCATCTTTGCCTGTGTGGTATTCAGACCATGGCAGTTACCGATCTCTTTTGTCCATTGAGTATCCAGACTCAGGTTTGTTGCATAGAGCATTCAGGCTCAGATTTTCCTTGAGCATCCAGGCTCCAATTTCCCTCGAGTATTCAGACTCTGACAACGTGAATGTTACCTTTAGCCAAAATGGTATCTAGACCATGGCGCAACATCATCTTATTATGTATCACCCAACGGAGTTACTTGGTTGAGTTTCTCTCGTTTCCTCCCTGCCATAGTTGTTTGGTTAAGCCTCTCTTCCCCAGCGGAGTTCTTTTGTGATTATCATCAATGAGTGGTCTTAATTTGTTTTGGCGGCGATGTCAGATTGATTTGTTTGTTCAGCGGCGAGGTTGAAAGTTTGTTTCTGGCGGCAATGTCAGATTGATTTGTTTGTTCAGCGGCGAGGTTGAAAGTTTGTTTCTGGCGGCGATGTCAGATTGATTTGTTTGTTCAGCGGCGAGGTTGAAAGTTTGTTTTTGGCGGCGATGTCAGATTGATTTGTTTGTTCAGCGGCGAGGTTGAAAGTTTGTTTCTGGCGGCGATGTCAGATTGATTTGTTTGTTCAGCGGCGAGGTTGAAAGTTTGTTTCTGGCGGCGATGTCAGATTGATTTGTTTGTTCAGCGGCGAGGTTGAAAGTTTGTTTCTGGCGGCGATGTCAGATTGATTTGTTTGTTCAGCGGCGAGGTTGAAAGTTTGTTTCTGGCGGCGATATCAGAGTGATTCGTTTGTTCAATGGCGAAGTTGGATGTTTGTTTCCGGCGGCGAGGTCGAGTGGTTTGATTCTTTAGCAGCGATGCTAGATGTTTGTTTCTGGCGGCGATGTTGGATTTTGTCATGACGGCGAAGTCAGAAGATTGTTTTAAGAATTGACGGCGAAGTCAAAGCTGTTGGAAATGACGGCGAAGTCAGAAGATTGTTTTGAAATGACGGCGAAGTCAGAAGATTGTTTTGAATTGACGGCGAAGTCAAAGCTGTTGGAAATGACGGCGAAGTCAGAAGATTGTTTTAAGAATTGACGGCGAAGTCAAAGCTGTTGGAAATGACGGCGAAGTCAGAAGATTGTTTTAAGAATTGACGGCGAAGTCAAAGCTGTTGGAAATGACAGCGAAATCAGAAGATTGTTTTAAGAATTGACGGTGAAGTCAAAGCTGTTGGAAATGACGGCGAAGTCAGAAGATTGTTTTAAGAATTGACGGCGAAGTCAAAGTTGTTGGAAATGACGGCGAAGTCAGAAGATTGTTTTAAGAGATGACGGCGAAGTCAGGTTATGTGAGAATTGACGGCGAGGTCAGATGTTTACTTGATTTATGACTGACGGCGAGGTCAGACGTTCTACTTAATATGGGTGCCTGGCGGCGATGTCAGAAGTTCGTATCGCGGTTGTCAAATTTCTGGGTCCTTGGGTATTCAACCGTCTTTTACCTTGAATGTATGAAAGTCGCTTACCTTTCATCCCTTCAGGTCTAAGTCGCTTGAATAGGGGCAGCTGTTGTACCCCAAAATTTGACCGACCTCTCTGGCTTGTGTTTTATTTCATTGCATTAGCATATCACATTGCATAAGCATACCCCAATTTTTCCTACATAGTATATTGTTTTCATCTGTGCATCTATCCACCAACTACTGTTCGAGGGATTGAAGATTTAGATCATTTTGTCCCACGATTCCATGGTTTATGGGTCAAAATTGTTACAAGAATAAATTGAGGTTCATCTGAGGTTTGAGTGTGTGCATTTGCCTCTAATATAACCTTGGTTAGGCAAGTCTTGTTTAGGCAATATGGTTTGAGTCTTCATTTGAAGGTCTATTTGCTCAAGGTGTCTATGAAGGAGTCAAGTTTTCAAGAGGTATTTAATTCAGTTGTTTCATGATCAAAGACTGACATGATCCATCATATATTAGGATATTGTTCAATAAAGCTCAGGGTGATGTTTTTGGCCCGTCATGACTCAAAGTGGAAAAGTTGGGATGAATTCATGTTGATTCAATAATACGTTCAAAGTTAAAGGTCGATTCGAGTTTGAATATTTATTTCTCAAAGATTGATTTGTGGGTTATTTCAAAGCTTCATTCAATTTAAATGAAGAACTCAAGAAGGGTGTGGGTTGACTAATGAAGATTTTGGAATGACATGGAAACTTCAAGTCAATGATCAACAGTTCAAGGATTTTTCATTAATTTAAAGCATGATTCAAATAACAAAGTGGATGTGAAAATTCAAAGTTCAAAGCCCATCTTTACAAGAGAAAGATACATGAAAGTTACATCATAATTTAATTTCCTAATCATTTTTCATATGACCCACAAATTCTAGCAATACGCAGCCATCCAAAGCGTCGGTAAAGGAAGAAAGCAAGAGCCAAGTTTCTAGTCAAGGTGAGGAGATCTCAAACAGCACAACAAACTGTTACTCCAATCTCTGGGTCTGTAGGTTCAAGTACATCAGCAGGTCTTAACATGGCTGAAGCTTTGGTGCAAACTCCATATCGAGCTCAGTCAACTCCCCAGGTTTCGGTCAAAACCCAGAGGCTTGAAGAACTTGCTCTTAAGAAGGCAAGACAGTTGATTCTAGTGACACCATCCTTGCCTAAGGCTTTAGTTAATAACTCTGAAAAAACCAAAACCAAAGACAGCACTCAAAAATGCTGAGATGAATATGGCTGCCAAGAGTGTGCCACAGCAACCTTCTGCATTGCATATTGTTAACCATTTTGTCCGCCGTGGAAATGCCAAAGGTGATGCTCCAAAGACATCGAGGAAGTTTACTGATCTTAAGTCTGTTGTGTGGGAAAATGGTGTTTCTGCAACGGCAAAGGAAGCCTGCTCCTGGTTTCAAGGCGAAGTCTTTATTAGAAATTCAACAGGAAGAGCAGAAAAAGGCACAAACCGAGCTACTCAAGCCTTCAATTCGTGTGACTTGTACGACCAATACCATCCTGCAAAACCATACAAAACAAGGCCATAATTTTCATCACTTTACACAAAGAAAAAGAAATCAAAACTTGCAAGAAAGTGAAGAGAAATGACAGCTTCCCAACACCGTACCGCGCGTACCGAAAGCCACCATAGCCCGCGTACGATTCAAAAAAACTATCAGCTGCCTTTACCTTCACCTCATGTCTTTGAAGCCAACAAAAGTCACCAAGCTGCCACTCACTATGATACACGCGCCGTAACCCCGACTTGAATTTGCAACATAGAAAAACACCGCTCACGAGCTCCTTGCGTTAGCTACCTGTCGAAAATGAAAAGTTTTATGAAAGTAGGGTGATTCACAAAACTCAACAAATTGTTACGACGCTCACGCCGTTGCCACAGCTTCAAAACAAACCATTCACACACCAACAAAACCGCAGTGTTCGTAATGTCGTGCAAAGCCACATAACCTCATCTGCAACATGAACAAAAGATGCCACAATCAGATGGGAACGTTCTTCAATTTGAGAATGGTTATGTAGTTGAGACTGTTGTGGAAGGAAATGAGATGGGAGTTATCCCTTATCGGATCCGCGTCTCTGAAGAGGATGGTGAACTCTTTGCTGTTGATAAAATTAATAGCAACATTGTTCGAATTACCCCGCCATTATCTCAGTATAGTAGAGGAAGATTGGTAGCTGGGTCGTTTCAGGGCTACACTGATCATGTCGATGGAAAGCCTAGTGGTGCTCGGTTTAATCATCCCAAAGGCATTACTATGGATGATAAAAGGAATGTTTATGTTGCTGATACTCAGAATCTTGCAATTAGGAAGATTGGAGATGCTGGCGTCACAACCATCGCTGGAGGAAAGTCAAATGTTGCTGGCTACAGGGATGGGCCTAGTGAGGATGCTAAGTTCTCAAATGATTTCGACGTGGTTTATGTTCATCCAACCTGTTCATTGCTGGTCATTGATAGAGGGAATGCTGCTCTTCGACAAATTATTCTTGACCAGGACGACTGTGATTACCAATCTAGTTCAATTTCCAGCACAGATATCCTTACCGTCGTTGGAGCGGTTTTGGTTGGATATGCTACATGCATGCTTCAGCAGGGATTTGGATCCTCTTTCTTCTCAAAAACAAGACACTCGAGAGGAGAGTTTAAAGGGCAACCAAGCAACGAGAAACACATGCCAATCCCGGACAGCAGTAAAGAAGATCCCGGATGGCCATCTTTTGGACAACTTATTGCCAATCTTTCTAAGCTATCCTTTGAAGCATTGGCTAGCACATTCACTCAATTCATACCATCACATTTCAAATCTAACAGCGTGAACAGAGGACTAACACCGCTCATGGATCGCCTCGTGATGCCGGAAGACGAAGTCAAGTCTCCATTAGTCAATAAAAAACCCGCTATTTCACTCCCTTCCCAGAATTTCAGTTCATCACCAACAACTACAAAAAAGAGTGAAATTCTATAAAAAGATGGTTGTATCACAAGTGTGTTCTTCTATGGACGCAATTAGGGCATTTCTTGAACATTTTGTTGATCCAATGCTGCCAGAAAAACCTTTTATTCAAGACGATCCTCCTCTATCTCAACAACAGAAAATTGCAAACCAGGTTCATTCTGTTGTGTTACTGTACAACTATTACCACAGAAAGCAGAATCCAGACCTATCATATGTAGGATTTAGGGAGTTTTGTAAGTTGATTGTTGATATGAGACCGGCTTTGTTGCCATATATGAAATTCACGGCAAAGCCTAATGAAACTGACCTCGTTGATGTGGAGGAGCAGTTGTCGTTAACTGGAAAAGCGATCACGAGTTCTTATGATATATGTACGATTTTAAACCCGTCGAGAAGTGTTCCTAACGTAGAGGGATGGCCAATTTCAAAAGTTGCGGTACTTTTAGTTGATAGTAAGGAGAACTGCTTCTTGCGTTTTTGTTCCACAACTGGTGGAGTGTGGTCGTTGATTGAAAAAGATGTGGATACCTCCGGTCAAATTTCTGAGGTTACAAGAGATGTCAAATCTACATACCAAAAGAGAAGAGTCATTAAGAAGCCCTTAAAAGATGGATTAAATGAAGGTAGGATTTTGGAAGTTGGATATTCGGCTGTTAAGGAAGCTGCGGGAACAGGTGTCAATAGTATTGATATAATGCTTTTGAAAAGTTACATTGTGTATTCCCAGAAGCAAAGAGAAGACAGCTTCACGATTTTATATAATGAAGTGCTCAAAGTTGATCAGTGAGGGGTTTATTCAAGTTCCTATCATAGATTTAGTTAAAAGCTTCCAAGGTCCTTTGGTGAAAAGAAGTTCTAGCAGTTGGATGGTCACCCCAGTCGTCAAGCACTTCCACATGCTCCCTTATTCCGAAATAATCTCAGAATGGATTTCTAGCGAAACTTTCTCAAATAGTTTGCAAGATTCAAAGCCAGCAGAGAAACAACTCCTAACGCGTGGAGTGACAGAATCACGTGTAAGTAATGAGGACATGTCTTTTGGTCTTGATAACAAGACATGCAGTGACCCTGTTGAAGCTCTTAATCAGAAAGGGAACAATGGTTTCTGCTCAAATAAACGGTGTAGTACTGTCAAAAAAGACCAGGATATGGACATGAACAACTCTTTAGTTTTTCGATCTAAAATTAAAGAAGAATGCCAGCAGCATATTGCAAATACTTTACAAGTTAGTGAAGATCAAAAGATAGAAAACCCATCTGCTGCCAAATTCCTGCACTTCCGATAATTGCCAAAACCCCACCCTTACATTTTGCAATTCCCTGCATTAAAACCTGCTATTGGAAAGCAACACAGCAGGACCACTACCCTGCTACAAACTCACACCAGCCCACACACCTGCATAAACAATACACAGCAGTTGTACCTGCACCAAGCCCACTCCAGACAAACAGCCATGCCAGACAAGCTCTGCACCAGCTGTACCGGTCTGCTGCACTCTGCTACACAAACATACTCTGCTAACAACAGCAGCCTGTAAAAAACCATCCCTCAAAACACAATAAAACGACCACTTGCAAAAAACATACACATCACATCTTGAATCATTCACAAAAACTACACTTCAAGAATATAAACCATCACTCCTTACTCACAATAACAGACTCCAATCTCTTTAACATATCACCATTCCTCCTTAGAACTTCATCGCCAAACTTCAATTACCCATTCACCAAAATCCAATCCTCACTGTTAACCTTGCCAAGATAACACCCTCATATCACAACTCATAAACCTTTATCAGTTTCTACCATTACCATTCAGCTTTCCAGACACACAACAGCACGAGCTGCAACACAAGTGCACTACGTCAGGTCACATCACAAGCTCGACAATAACACGACGCTCTCGACGGGCCCTTCTATTCAGCACAATCATAACGTTTGAGTCATACACAAGGATTCAACAATTCAAATTCTTCAAACATCCTCCAATAAACTTCAATAAATCACCCAGAAAACTCCATTAAACCCACAAAGCCATAATAGAACTTTCATCGAACATATAGTGGGCGATTTTCGCATCACTGTTCAGCACCTTCTTCCATTAATCGCCACTGTTGGTTCTTCAAACCTAACAACAAACCTCACTCCAACCTAAAAACCTTCATAAACCGTAAAAAAAACCAGCTTCAAGCCTCCACAACTTCAACCGAACCCCACATCAATTCCAAACCCTCTTTCAAAGTCAACAATTAAACCCAGTCTCTGTTTACGAATCCCTTTTCCACTCAAATCCAGACACACCATTCCAAATCTTCTCCTTTCAACCTTATTCAAAAAACCCATCCAAACTTCGTTTAAACAACAACTCAGAAGAAATCGAGAAGAAGGAGTTGAGTCTGAGTAAATTGGGAACAAAAACGAACTCGGAAACGAAATAGAGCAAACATTGAGGGAGGAATCATGGTTAGAGCGAGAGACAAGGCGTGGGTTGAAACAGATATGATTCAAGCTGACGAAACCATCACGACGGAAACGAGAGAGGTAGGTTTACTCACCGTCCTTTTCTTCTGCGTTTTCACGGATCCAAACTTGTTGGCTTGGACTTGATGTTTTCTTTGTTTTATTTTAAACGTAGCTTTGTGTGCTGAGCATATCCACTTGTTTATTTATTTACTTATTTATTTTACTTCTTAAGTTTTTTATATTATGTAATTATTGTTATATATTGTTTTTTTTAAATTTTATTTTGTATATATATTATTTACTTTATATTTAAAATGTATATTGTATATTATATATTTTAGAGTTTTTATATATACATTTTATTTAGAAGTTTATTTCATATTTTAGATAGATCTTATTTCTCTTTTGTTATTGGGCATTTTTGCCTTTTTGGGTCGATGACGAGACCTCCGTAATTCATTACCAGTCAAATTATTGATGAGTAATGTTGGATCTGAGACCACCTCTTTTCTCTCTTCGTCACCTGTCCCGACTCGATTCGAAAACATTGACAAACCATTTTCAAAATCAAATTACCTTTGTATTGAATTAAAAAGAGGGGATTAAGTGTAGACTTTCTTCCTCTCCGAGTGTTGGGATACCCACTGTAGTGAGGGTGGTTCCAACACTCGTCTTTCAATACGAAGACGCTTCCCATCCATTTTCAAATCTCATCTCCTTAAAATCAATTCCTCGTATTGAATTAAAAAAGAGAGGATTGGGTGTAGACCTCTTCTTCTTCGAGCGTAGGGATGCCCACTGTAGTGAGGGTGGTCTCGATGCTCGTCTGTCAATACAAAGACGCTTCCAACATTTCTTCATAAAACCTCGGTCCCGTACCGAGCACACTTTCAATAATAAACTAATTTCTCTTTGTATTTGAATTAAAAAGAGAGGATTAGGTGTAGACCTCTTCCTCTCTGAATGTTGGGATGCCCACTGTAGTGAGGGTGGTCTTGATATTCGTCTTTCAATACGAAGACGCGACTTTATCCACCATCTCGCTTTCACAACTTCCTTCCACAATTTTCACACCTAAAACCTCGGTCATGTACCGAATTCATTTTCAAATCTTTTCATAACAAAAACTTGAATGGTCGTGGAGTGGTTAGGCGTAGGCCTTCTCCTATCCCGAGTGCTGACGTTTACCGTAGGGTTCTCTGTCGCAAAGCACTTACCATTCAAAACCAAAAACATCTTTAATAAGAGAACGAAGTTCTCTTTGCATTGAATTAAAGAGAGAGGATTGGGTATAGACCTCTTCTTCTCCGAGCGTAGGGATGCCCACTGTAGTGAGGGTGGTTTCGATGCTCGTCTTTCAATACGGAGACGCCTCGTTCACCACACCCTTTTATAACAAAAACTTTGAGATAAAGAATTGGGTACTACCCGTAGGGGTTACTATCCGAGGACCTATCTCGCCCCTAAAAAACAATTCAACCAATCAAACGTGACACCTTGCCTTGCATGGCGAAAACCAGTCTCCCAAAGGATATGTTACGTCCGTTCTACCGCAAACAGGTACGCATAAGTCTCCAAACGAGCGAGCAGCAAAACACCTAAACTGCTAGAACGTGCACAATAACATCATCCACACAAACACACTGGTTATCCGCACCGTAGGCACGAACTACGTTGCTCTGATTTCTCATGCATAATGGGAATACGTAGGCATAGGATTGCGACAATCCTAGCGAGCACCCTTTTTTCTTTTTCACCCTTTCCCAGAAAGGCATGCTACGTCCGTTCTACCGCAAACAGGTAACGCCTAAGTCTCCAACGAGCGAGCAGCAATACACCTAACTGCTAGAATGCGCACGATAGCATCGTCTACCAGCACACCCCGCTTTCCCACAAACCGTAGGCCGAACTACGGCTGCTCTGATTCTTTACTTCTTTTAAGTAAAGATACGTAGGCACAAGGGCCACAATCCTTGCCGAGCACATTCCCCCTCTATATCTGTAGTTCCCCGAACTACGTCGACTCTGATTTTCTCACATCCGTTGAGAATACGTAGGCCTAGGACCGCGAAGTCCTACCGAGTCTGTTCTTTCTCTTTTCTCCCTCTGTTACCTCTCTTTTCACGTTTCTAAACCCTTCTCTCTATCTTTTAGAACACTCTTTTTATAGCATAATATTTAAGCAGATAAATTCATACATCGACAAACAAGAGGTTCCCATCGAGTACGATGGATGCGAGGGGTGCTAATACCTTCCCTTCGCATAACCGGCTTCCGAACCCGTTCTTGGTTGCGAGACCATCTTATCCATTTCTTTCCTAAGGTTTTCTCGATATTTTCCTTTCCCCTCATGGGATAAATAAAGTTCGGTGGCGACTCTTCTGTCTATCTTTTTCGCCTTCCCGTCGTTGCGCGACGCATTTTTTCGAGTAGCGACAGATAGATCACTTACGCTCCTCCTGAGACATGATCTATCCCTCACCATTCTCCACAAAGGAGTACGGATGAATCACTTACGCTCCTCCTGATACATGATTCATCCCACCAAAACACCATGATATGCACACACCAATGCATAACTATCATAATTAGGCACTCAAAGTGCACACGATCTTCCTGATCATATCATCATACATCAATGCATATATGTACAGATATAACATACACATACACCGTATAGATCAATCAGATAGTAAACAACTTCATACTATAACACCAGATATAACCACATCCCAACACTCGGGAATGCATGATCCTACTGATCACTACATATATATACATTAACTAATTGTTCACCAACAATATCAAGGAAAACGAGTACCATCACCAAGTAAACAAGTTCATACTTTATCACCAAAATATAAACACGTCCCACCACTCGGGAATACACGATCCTACTGATCACTACACCATGCTCCGCATGATTCATACACCAACTAATTATCCATTTAAATAATTAGTAACGGAAATCACATACTATCACCGAGTACTCACTCTATAACACTCAATCATCTCCCCTATAATCAACAAAGTCCAAGGGCACTACACTCTTAGCGCACACAGCATAACAGCATAGAAAAACCACATTCTGCTACGCTCGCTACACCCTCGCTAGGCGAGCTCCCAGCGAACGCTCGCTGCCTTCTCGCTAAGCGAAGTACTAGCAAGTTGCCTGCGACTTCTCAAGTTCTCACAGTTCAGAATTCTCACTCTTCTCCGATTCAAGCCTATTCTATAACATCCACTTCCTATACTATCCGTATTATGACCAATGCATATTAGGCTTATCAATCTTCCTATAATTCTACTCCAGATCAACAT